AGAAGAAGTATTATAAGAATGGCAGTTTAAAAGAATGCATAAAGGTGTTAACAAACAAAGCAATACGTTTATTATAGGTCCTGTATTTCATTGGAGGATCACTCACTGTCCTTATCGCACAATAGGACAGGCAGTTTGTATAAATTAAAAAAAAAATAATGATATCTTAAATTTGTATTTTTACAGAAGTGCTTTAGTTTTTCACTGTTTGTCTGAAAGTGCAATTCTGCTTTGACAACTTTGTTCTTGCGCTGCTGGCACAGTCTCTGCTCTTTTGGAAGTCATGATTTTTATATTGGCCTGTTTCTATGGCCAGACTGTGTTCACTGAGTCTGTACTTTGTCAGTGCAGTTCCCTCTCTCTCTTGTTCTCTCTCTCTCACACTTTCTCTCCCCCATCCCTCAATCCCTGACCCTTTAGAGCTTCTACTAGGAAATTTTGGTGCTCTCAGAGTGTCTAGGAAATATTCAGACTGCCAGACAAATTAAAAAAAATATACTGGTTTTAATGTTGAGCAAGAAAAATCCTTTTCGCCATGTACTGTATATGTTTGTATGTCGTGGTTCGAACAGCAAACCTGAGAGCGTTTGTCAGTTGAGTTTTCTGTGTTTTATTACAGTGGATAGCATGCAGATGTATTTATTGACTGTCATATCTGTATAAGCCTGCGTTTCCGTTGGTAAATGATCAAGTAAGGTTATCATGGCAAAATTTGAGCATAACTATTAGCCGTTTCAGTGTGGGTACACAAGCTCTGGCTGTCACATATATCACTACATTTAAATATAGCGTTACCTGTAAATGACAAGAAGATGAAGTTTATTTGCATTTGAGTTCTTGGTGTGCAGAGCAGAAGATTAGGCTAACTAAGGTTGAGCTGGAGCAGCTCTGTCCTTCGCTAAGTGGGGGTAGTCTAGGTGGTCTCTTCTCCATATATTTGACAGCAGAAGTACACTTCACCACAAAAATGAATGTTTGTTTACTTTATTTACAGTCCTGTGTATGAGTCCAAAGGGTGTAATTATTTAAAACCATTTCTCTTAGTGCTTAATGTGTTTTTACTTGACAAAAAACACCATATATCAGTAAGAATTTCTTATTTTGAAAAAATAGTTGATAGCTAGTTTGAAGAAAGAGTTTGATTCCAGGTGTCGCATCCATCCAACTAACATAATACTGAGATGCCACGAGGAGAGATCTGGAAAGGGTTAAACAAACACACTGACGTATGTAAAATCACTTTTCTCAGGTTAAAACTTTTACACAGTACTGTATATGACTGTTGTATTGGGTTTTTACTGGTGAAATACTGGTGTTTACCAGCTAGTGGACACCCCACTGTCTTTCTCCATCCTTCTATCTCAGTCTGTCTAACTCCCACCCCTCTTCCCCCCATATAGAGATTGTTCAGGTGAGCGTCTTTTAAGACACTCATCCATCACTCTCTCTCCCCCTCTGCACCACTGGCAGGTTGCGTTTGTGGTAGTGGAGCAGTTTGGCGGCAGGCTGTTTTTTCTGCCACGCTGATAAAACACACTGTCACGAGTGAGCGGTCCCGCCACGGAGTCGCCACTGATCTGGTGATAGAGCCTCATGCTCCAGAAAGAGGCAGAGAGGAGAGAGAGGAAAATACAACAGCAAAAAAAACTTTGAACAGTGTGTCCCTGCAGCCTCTGATCTGGTCGAAGCAAGGTCACATTAATATGGATTTCCTTTTTTTTTTGTCTTCCAACCTCTCTCCCCCCATCCTCTCTATCCGTCTATCTACATCTCCATCTTCATTTCCCTCTCTCTTTTCCTTCAGACTGATAAAGTTTAAAAACGCACTCAAGCTCAGAGACTGTAATTCTTAAGAGATGTCGCTTTCTCTCGTCTCTCTCCGACGGGCGAGAGAGGACACAAATCGAGACGAGATCAGGCGGAGGGAGGGGGAAGAGAGAGAGGGAAGAAAAAGAGAAGTTTAGTCATATGCCTCTGAGTTGGAGTCAATCAGGCAGATCTTTTCGATAATGGTACGTATGGCGGAGTGGACTGCAGGAGACGATATATCCGGAAGGCTTTTGCTTATTAGCCCCACCAGCATGAGCACAGATGAGGAGGAAGCGGATTTACCCCTGTGAAGAAGAAGAGCGGAGAAAAAGTGACAAGGGCCAGGAGATCGGGCTACATATCCACTGCAGCAACGGACAGAACAGAAATCAGCCCATTGCCAGTCCACTCCTGTTCACCTCTCTGTGTTCATGGGGGGCTTTGAGAAGGGGGTTCCTGCAGGAAAGCGTGTTGTGGAGCGATTCTCTCTTTTCGCAAGGATATGTTTCTGTTTAATTATATTAGTGTTGCAGAGCAGTTGTCATTTGCATGTCCGGTTGATTGACACCTTATCCCCTCCTTCAGCCTCCTCTCATTTATCTAATGACTGCTCGGCTCTGCACCAGCCATTTTTTCCAAAGGCTGCTAACAGGGATACGTTTTTTCATTCTTTTCTCATTCACACACTAGGGATGTAAATTGTGGCAAATTCCTTGGACCAATAACTGACTGTCATTAGTTGGTGTTTGATCGACATGGAGAATCAAATATCAATCGTTCACTCTGATCGATTATGATTGGATAAGCCATATTTGAAGCCAGTATAAAATATATGGCTGTATTTTTATTGCTACCATGATATGAGTTTTCACAATAAACACATAGTTCTGCAGTGACAGAACTAATTAAACACCCTCAAAAAACAAGTGGAAAAAGTGATATAGTTAGATTGGTGGGAATGTAGCCCAGCAAGTGTTTCCCTGTGCTGTGCTTAAACCCTGCTCTCTTATGTGGACAGCAAGTAACTTAACCATTTAGCTAAATAGCAAAAAACACCCATGTCCACAGTTCAGAAATGACACTATCCTGAATGACTAGCCTGTAAAAATGTTTCAAACATGATGATTTTTCTCAGACTGTGTTGTGTGTAAAATGCATAGAACTGCAAGTAGTAACAACTACTGTCACAACAAATCTGCATCATCACAAGGAGCTTTTTAAGGAATTGTAGGCCTAAAATTGAAAATAAAAACATACATATATATTCGTGTTTGTAGCCTGACTGCAATCACACAGAAAAAGCTGTTCAGGTAATCCTGGCTCTTTTTAGACTGAAGCATCTCATGGATTTCCCTCACGTTTTGCAAGCTATAAATTTTTCATATTGCCCTTATTAGCAGTCAGATACCTTTTGATGCTGCATATGAGCACGAGTTGACAACACCATTGTTAAAAAAAAAAAAAAAAAAACAGCCCCAGACGTCGATGTTTTCGCCTCTGTGATGTACAGAACTCTTAGCCTGGGCATAAACTACACTTTTAAATCTCAACAGATTTATAAGCCTTAACATTGGTTCATCACAGAATTCTGTGTCTTTTTGTTGTGTGGAAGTTCACACTAGATGACAAGGTAAGGAGAGACTATAACACACATAACGAGTTTTGGCTATGAATAACAACTCGGAGTCCTCAGAGATCACATGACACAAATAAAGCTAAACGTACTGGACCTGTTTGTGCTTTTATGTGTGGCAAAAGTGAAAACTGGGGATTAATATGGTTAAGAAACACTGAAATCACAGTAAGAGCTGAAGAAATATTTCACTACAAACTGGCAGCTAATTTGAAATTGTAAAGAGAGAGACGTGACATCTGGATCCAGCATTATAAACATGATAACGACTCATTTGCCACTCCGCGCTGCTCTGTTTGCATGCAGGTGCATGCACGACTCTTTGCCTTTTTCTCCACTCTTCTAGCTCTCTGATTGGCTGTTGTTTGAATCACTCATTGGGCGCATCTCTGACCTCGTCACACTACAGGACTCATGAACGTATTGATTCATAAATATAAAATGCACCATGGACTACAGCCTGATGTTATGAAGTATTGTATCACATGTGGTTTAATGTTGGAAATTTTCTTCTGCCAAAAAAACACTACCCTCTTGCATTATGGATAGAGCCAAAAAGGGTTGCAGTATCAGGTTCAACTCAGCTTTGTCAATATTTGCTAGATTAACCAGAATTCTGTTTTGTTCCAGCTAGTCCGCAAAGCACTTCACAGCCCTCCTTTTTTGCTGAACTGTATTCTTAATATAATGTAGACTGCTTTCACACTGTTTAGAATCTGACCAAACGGTCAGCAGGTGAAGTTTTAGCTCATAGAGGTTATCTAATGTATTAATTTTATGTTTTTGTGTGCTAAAGTGGAACCAGCAACTGTTTTATTTTTACAGACAAAGGATTAGAATCTCCAGAACCAGCTTAGACTGAGCTGCAGACATCCAAGTTATACGTGGAAGCGCTCAAAGTTTCAACTGCTGAATGAAGTAACAGCTATGTCCAGACTACTTTCACTCTTCCAAAATGTAAAGTAGCCTGCACAGTGTCACAGTTTGCCTGTTCTGAGAGGAGCAAAGGATGCCTTATTTACATTTGAAGACATTTTTCTGCTTCGTCATGTGTGGAGCTGCGTCTCAAAAATCAGCTCAAACTGTGTTGTGAAGATGGTGAAAGAGCTCATGAAGTCTTAGCTCCTGAATAAGATGGACAAATTGCCTGTTCTGTGTTCGTCTTTCCAAAGTTGAAAGCATCCTGTGTCACTTTTTGCCCGTTTCACAAAAAGCAAAGGATTCAAAGATCTAATCAGGTTTTTCTGCAACCTGTACAAAAAATGTCACATCCAGTGTGTATAGTTTTCATGTGAAAAAATCGTGTCTAAATGTTTCTGTGCCATCAGAACTAACTATAACATCATATGTGTGTATATTACATTATGTAAATACATACTGTGCACATTACATTAAAAAGCAGCGTCACCACTTGCACCAGAAAGTCAATGTGTTGTTTTCCAAAAGGTGCAAACAAGAATAAATAGTTTCATGAGAACTCACTCATTTCTCTTTATTCCCCCCCCATTCTTTCTCTTTCTTTTCTCTCTCGCTCTTTCTCTCTGTCTCTCTCCTGCAGAAAACACAAGGGTACCTCTGCAAAGGTCACGGTCCCGGCAGAATATCAATTTCAGCTCAACGCGAGCCCCCGCTGCCAGGGAGGCTCATTACGAGAACGAGGCCCATCCGTCTGCAGCACGGAGAGCAGCCCCTGCCCACCGGCCGGACAGGGAGAAAGAGAGGGAACGGGAAAAAGAGAGGGAGAGGGAGAGGGAGCGGGAGCGAGCAAAAGATCAGGAGAGCGAGAAAGAACAGACCCCGCCAGGGCGCTCGGCTAACGGGGACGCAGACGTGGAGGCTCTGCTTGCTCGACTCCGCGCCCTGTGACCTCACATCCCCTTCTGACCTCTGTGTACGGTCACCACGGCAACGGCCAGACCAAGCCCAATTAAGCTGGCCATCCCTCGCACTAATGAACGCCGTCAAGTAGCTCGCACACAAACACAAAAGTCTTAACAATTAACCTTTCCTTTCACACGTCCCTGCCCTTTTCCTCTCGACAACTGGCGAGGGAGGCGAGTCATTGTCCTCTGGCGCTTACCAAAAGCTTTTAGAGCTCCGTTCAGTTTGGGCGTCTTTGTTTAAACGAGAGGGTTTTGATGGTTGAGGGCGACCCCGCGGCCACACTTTCTGAGCTTAATAAAAAACAGAAAAGCATTTATATTGAAATTCAAGTTTAAAGAAATTCAAATCTAAAGGTAAAAGAGCCAAATGGCTAGAGAACAGTGGTACAGAGTTGTCAGAAAGACAAAAGTAGCTAGACTTCATGCTGGTCTTTAAGGCTACAGGGCCTTTGTCTTAAATACATATGTGCACTTTCAATATATTCTTTATTCTATGCAGACTCATGAAACTATAATATTTATGGCTTTTTATTTTCTAACTATAACAATTTTAGCTTTTAAAACGGCTTAGCCTCACATACAAAATAAGACCAAACTAATAATGAATAATAAGGGCTAGGAGATATCATTTGGTATTGCTGCATATTAAACCTAATTAATCATTTTTGTCAGCTTTATGTATAAAAAATAGACATCAAATTAAACTGGCAGTGTTGCTTTTGCAGCCAAAGTAAGACCTTCAGACAATGATTTTTAAAACAACGCAAGCCCTAAGTCACAGCTGTAAGCGTGGTTAACGTTTGAAATTGATCAAACAACAAACAGTAAACTGAGTTTAGACAAACTGTAGCTCTACAGTGCTCAAAAGTAGTCTTGGGACACCTCTATCATCATTTGGTTTTTTAGAATTATTTAATTTGTTAATACTGATGGATATTGTGCTTTACCATACTTAAAAGCATATCATTTCAGTTATAACTTATCAGTCAATACTTTGGGTTCAACTGTACGGTAACAGATTAGAATATTTTCACATAACCAGGCATTTTACTTCAAAACAAATATAGTGACGCTAATTGAAATGCACATGTTCAAACCAGAGATCTCTGGCGTTACTCCTGGAATGCCACCATACAGCACACCAGACCTGAATTTTAATAATATTCTAAAAGATATTGCTTTAGAAAACTATCTGAATAAAAAAATATCTGAATCTGTCAAAATAATGCTGTATCTTGGTTATAAAATGTGTGAGAGAAAGATTCATTTCACTGTCATCCAAAAGAAGGGGTATGCAACAAAATAGTGACCTGAATAAAATACTAAATTTTAAATGTTTAAGTACCTTACTTGAGTTTTCAGTGAATTACTGGGATTGTTTTGGGTTTCAGTGACTAAACCTGGTTGTTATTGCTGGCTGTTCTAACGTCTCTGATGGATACAAAGGAATGAATGAAAACTTTAACTTGGAAAGTAATACCTAAACAAGACATAAATTGTGTTCAGAGAGTGTACCAGGACTGCTTTTGAGCACTGTAAAGCACCTTGAACAGTTTTCATTTCTTTAAATCTGTACTCTGTGTCTGTGCCCTTCACAAACCACAGAAAGGCTTTGCTTCTATCACCATGACAGGTTAATGAAGGTATGAATTTCCTGTCACAATGACTGTATACTTATCGCCCAGCCCTGATGTCGGCGCCACATTCTAATTGGGTTTGTTATTGTCAGTATATTATGATACCCTGCCCTATGTTTGTACGTCTGTATGTAACCAAAAGAATGATTTTGTATGTACTGTGTATATGCGAACACAGATGAATCTGTATATCCTTGCTCCTTTTGTACTCCTAAAGAGAGAAGTAGATAAAAATGTAGTGGTAGAAGATGCAGTGATTGTTTCACCAGCAGAGCATCCACTATGCAAGACCTACTGTTTCCCATTCTAGTGCTGTTATTTGGAGACGTGAAAATGTCTCTCAAGTCAACGTCTTACACTTTTTCTATATTTTCTGTGTGAACAGACATCAAATTATCCGAGCAATTCAGTGTATGTTTCTTTTCAGTGTTCTTTGTTTTTTGTTGTTTTTTTCCTTGTATTTTCTTCTAAGGTAGTAGAGCATATTGTGTAACCTGGAACTTTTTATCTCTCTTAATCTTTGCTGTTCCTGTATGCGCTGTCTTCTCTTTTGTTCTGTGTGAGTCTTGAATTTAATTGACTAGTATTTCCCGTTCTTGTCAACATGATGTCTTTCCTTTTCTTGTCATCATCTTGTCTACTTCTGATCTGATTACTGTCTTGTTACGTTCAACAGTTTGGCTTCGAATTCAGCATGGTGTCACGAGGTAGATCACTGATGGAATTATGTTGGGATTTTTTGGCTTTTTTGCTACCGAAATCTCAACGTTTTTCATACTTTTAAGTACCACATCATTTACTGAGTAGCTTGGGTTAAAGAATGTGATTCTTGTTAGGGATTTGTAGTATCATTTGCAATAAAGAAGCAGAAAAGTGTCTCGGCTGTGGGTTTTAGTTCAGAGCACTGAAATCGGTGCTCGTGTTTTTTTCACTCAATCCTCTCATTCAGCTACCCTCATTACAAGGGAGAACACACTCGTTCGTCAGGATCCCCCGTTCATTCAGAAAACTCATTTTATGCACCAGCAACTGACTGTGTGTGTGTGTGTGTGTGTGTGTGTGTTCGGGGTGGGATATTGGGGTGAGAAAGGAGTGAAGGAGAGGTGGAGCACCTGGAGTGATGAAAGACTCTGCTACCCACAATCAAACTGTTTATTGTATTATAAATAATAATTACTGCTGTTTCCAAAGGTGCACATTCCAATTTAATTAATCTGGGGGAAATCGGAGTGGTGGGCTGTTGGCTCCAGAGGAACCCCCTCCCCCTGCACACTCCCCGAACTCCTTGACGCTAGTGGGGCTCAGAAGTAATTTACGCTGTGATTATTTGTATTTGCCTGTGTAGGCAGTGTAAAATGAAGCAGTGATTCTGGTACAGCTCCTTCCCCAGCTTAACCTGGACTTCTGGACGTTTGGCGCAGCTGTAAAACACTGCTAAGATGTTTCTCTTTTTTTATATGTACACTTATCTCTCTGCGTCATCACTATATTTGCTATCCCGCGCTTAATTTCTTCTCTTATTTCTTGCTGTATTTTTAAAGCTGGAGTTGGTAAGAGGCCCACTCTTAGGCACTGATTGCGGAAACAGGCTTCATGCGGAGCTAATTTGGCCCATTTTTGCAGTGGATGATGGAACCAAACTGCAGGAGACCTTGTTTTTCAAAATGTCACTCACAAAATCTGCCAGCTAAATGTCACACTCCCGTAAAGTGGTATTTGTGTTTAACCAAACACAGACAGGTTATGCATATCTACAGAATAGTGCTGGAGCATTAGCACGTAAGTGGTTTAGGTCAAGTCAGGAAAGATTTTGCATGTCCTGATCGATGTATCAGTTAGCTAATAAAATCAGCCAATATTAAAGTTTCATTGATTTATTAGTATTGGCAAAATGGTATATTTGTAGCCTGTTTAGAGCTGATATTGCTGTGACCTTGCTTGTTTCATACTGAAATGTAAGAAAATTCCTCATTAAATCTAAATAACAGTTAAAAGTCAGTTAGAAAAAATTAAAAACATTGTAATTGATTGTAGAGCAGACAGAGGAGCACTGTACACACTGTAAACAGGTATTCTGACTTAAAACTAGCATGTAGTATGTTATGTGTTGTGTCATGCTGTGTTCTGTAGCGCAGCATTACATACCTTAGCCTCACTGGTTTGACACAGTATATGATTTGAGCATGAGCATCAATTTCACATGTCATACAACCTTTGGAATCCCTGTGATGTCAGCCAATCTTGCTTGCATTGCCACTGAGCTCTAGGCTAATAAATACATTCAAACTAGCATCAGTGTAACTCTTACTTCAGTTGTCAGTTCTATCTTGATTCAGCCAGAAATGGGTACCAGAGACGTGTTCTTCCACCTTAAAACAGAAATATGATATCTACATAGCCAGGTAGCTACCATCTTAAATAGAGCTTATCTTGTTGCTTTCCTCATGTAATGAGTCATTTCTGTTTGAGTAATCTGCCCATTGTCTACCCACTCTGCCTGTGTAGCTCACATCTGCAAGCAACAAAACAAGATGACCCCAAAGCAACACAATTTTTAAAAAGTTTTCTCCCACCTTCACAATAGATCATCAGAAGGGGTTTTCCAGAAAATCTCACTGTATAGACCACCACAGCATCAGTGTAGGATGCAAGTAGTGATGGTTAAATGTATTATTTTGGCCATTGTGCCTCTTTAAGATATGCTGACAGTAATAATGCTCACAGCATGTAATTTACACTGTAGATTTTGGAGTAAGGATGCTCATTGGTTCACTGACACTGATATGATGAAGTGTTTAGATATTGAAAATTGAAATTTGAAATTAAATTTGGAATTAAAGTAATCTGGTGGGTACCACAAAAGTACTGAGTTTCAACACACAATTCCCGATGACAGTTTATTTTGAGTGGTCCTTTTTAGATGAAACAAACACTCAACAGAATCTCAGTAACATGAAAAAAACATGAGGGTTAGGATTAGGTTTTGGGTTGAGGTTAAGGTTAGGATTAGGGTTAGGTTTGAGGTAAGGTTAGGTTTTGCGTAATGGAAATAACATTAACAATATATCTACTTAATGTAAGTGATGTAGTACAGTACATCTTCAAGATATTTCAGTGTATTCAGATGCTTCACAACTGTTACTTCACTAATGTGTTGTTGATGTGTTACTGATAATCTGTTAAGAGTTTATTAAAGGACCCCTCCAAATTAAGTGTTACAGCCCTAAAAGTATGTATAGTGGATTCAGTAGCTCTTGACAGGTAATAAGTGGGTAATAATATGCTAATATTATGGTAACAAGTTGTACTTACAAAAAATGTACTTGCTAATTTATTAGGTCTTTACCAAATGACAGGCTAGTAATTGTGACGGTAACAAGCAAATAATAAAATACATTTTTAACATTTGTATTTTAAGCATTAATGCTGTCATTTCAGCAAAGCTACTTCATTGTGGTTTTTTTGTGGCAATATCCCTAATAATATAAAACCCTATAAGGACTTAAAAGATTCAGAGTGATATGTTGACTAAGCAGATACTATGCTCTAAGAGCTCGACACCTTATCTCTATAAATGTACATTTTTTTCCCATTTTATTACCAACTAGTTACTACTAAAATGACTAATTTATTACTTATTAACAACTAGAAAATTATGTAATTTTTAGGTTAGAATAACTTGTTCCCATTATTTTTGCCATTTTATTATCAATTCGTTATACTATAATTATTTATTTATTAACGGTAAAGTTCTTACCATTATACCACTTTATTACCAACTTGTTACTGTTATAATTACTAATCTATTATTTAGTAACAACTACAAAATGAGCATGTAACTTTTAGGTTAGTACAACTTAATACTGTAATATTACCATATCGTTAGCCAGTTATTAGCGATCTCTGAAGTGCTACCGTGGATTCAGTAGTACATGGAATGTCTGAATTACAGCTACATACATACATTCTGTAGTACTACTGTGGATCCAGTAGTATAAAGAATGTCTGTATTTATGTAGCTGTAATACTTCAGGTAGCTCCTGCTAAGTAAGCTGCCCTGTTTCTACTCCTGCACTGTGTCTGTATCTGTGTGGGTGTGTTTATGTGTGTCAGTCCCTGGTCTGCGTGTAGCATTCTGCTTTCTAGGGAATCTCATCATGCGCTGTTCGCTGTGCATATTCT